TGATTTTCTACATTAAAGAATCAAAATATTGCATCAAAAGACTCATAGAATTAATAACAAAATCGAGCAGTGTGGCAGGATACAAAATCAATTCACAAAAATCAATAGTGCTTTTGTACTCCAATAATAAATTCACCAATAAAGAAATTAGAAAAACCAATATCATTCACAATAGTATCAAGAATTTAATGCTTATGAACTAACCTAACCAAACAAAAGTAAAGACCACTTCCATGAAAACTACAGTACTGTGTAAAAAGAGATTAAGGGGACATCAATCAGCAAATGGAAAGATATATCCTTTTTCTTGACATGCAGAAACAATGTTGTCAAAATGGTCATAATTCCATAACTGATGCACGAAGAAACACAATTCCTATTAAGAAACCATTAGTGTACCTTACAGAACTATAGAAAACAACTATAAAATTCATATGGAATACTAAAAGTAATTCAGGACTACAAGGGCATGGCATGAGGTATCATAATTTGGCACTTCAAGTTAAATGGTTTTCTATGAAGATAAGCAAACATAGATGTCAAATTCAAATTCCAGACATTGCTAAATTGCTCAAAATTCATGGAAACAATCTGAATAAACTAAAAAAATTTGCTTTCACTCAAATAACTATCAAAAATTACTTCATATGTATGTAAAGCGAACGAAAGGTTAAGGAGACATAATTAACAAAATAAATGAGAAAGATCAGAATACACACACACACACACAAATGTATGTATGTGTGTATATATATAAAATGTGTGTATATATATATATATATATATATATATATATAAACTGTAAGAAATTATTATGTAAAAGTATAGCTAAGATATTAGGCAATGATAAGTATGAAGATGTTTAATATCTAATTAATTTTTGCTAAAATATGATTGTTAGGAGGGCATTAAAAAAGTAAATAGCTCAAGATTTTTTTGGAAATGTTCACAAGAATTTAATTTGTTTAAAATAAAGAATAAAACATTTAAACTTGTAAGTCTAATACACCTATCTAGAGTGTACCAATTAAAAACATCAGCTTTTATTTGCAAAACAAGATTCCACGCTGCCTACAAAGTAAGACCTAAGATCAAACCACCAGGAGAATGTAAAAACAGACATTTAATATAGTGATATTAATGTCGTGAAATATAATTTAATAGAAAAATTATGAATAATTAGAAAGGAAAATAGTAAAATAAACAATTCATCAAGAAATGAAAAAATTAATTATTTCAATGCCTTTGAGTGTGTGTTTTCCAAATGTGTAAAGAAAAATCTCCTACTGTAGGAAACAATGGACAAATTAACTTTTGAATCTCCACTAGAACCTCACAGGACTAGAAATAGGCTAGGCAGGCAGTGTAGGTAGCAAAATTATGCTGAAAGCTTTCAGGTTTTGAAAATTTGTTCAATAAGAATCATCAAATTTAGAGGTACTAATTAGTGCTAGACAGGATAAATTATACACAAAAACAGACACACACAGAGAAAGATACAGCCGTAGCTAGACATGCAATAATAAAACTTCAGAATTCTCAATCAAGAAAAGAAAATTTTAAGTTCCCGGGAGGGGCAGTTTATCTGCAAAACAATTACATTCAAAATGCCATCAGATCATCAGATGTCTTGCTTTATCCCAATTCCTTCCCCTTTTAATCCCTCTTCTCCTCTCTATAGGAAAGTTTCATTTTCATTTCCCCCTTTTATTCTCTTTTTCCCCCCTTCCTCCCCTGCCCCTTGTCCCCTTTACATTTGAATATTTTCTTTGTATTTCCCAGTATCTATTACATATTTTGGTCCTATTTACCTTCCAGGATGTAAGGCTTATTATGAATGAGTATAACCAGGTCCATAAAAAGAGAAAGAGAAAACAAGGTGAGACAGGCAGTTTAGTGAGGAGGATGTAGAAATACAGTGAAATAACAGACCAGTCCTCTGGAACTGCTAGTTAGGTGTTGGGGTGAGGATGTCAGTAGAGTGAATAAGCAGGAAATAGGTATTTTCCATCAGAAATCATTCTTACAATTGAAAATTAGGAAGTGACTCTGCTGTTGGAAATGACGCGGTCTAAACTAAAACTTTTCTGGGAAGGTGGTGCGAAACCTCAAGAGTTCTTCCAGGTACTGTGTGTGCAGCAGATTCAGATTTCCGCAGCCTCTTCTGGGGCAGAAGAGAGAACGGGAGGTGCTTTATTTTAATATTTAATTCCTCATTTAAAAATTTAAAATTTAAAAATGTCTAAAAGCATCTGGTTACTTTTAAAATTTAAAATGTCTGAAAACATTTAAAAATGTCTAAAAACATCTAGTTTAAAATGTCTGAAAACATATAGTTACTTTTGAATGATGTACATTCCACTTTAATATGTTATTCTTACAGTTTTATCCTTCAATATCAGGAAAAAAAAAGGAAAAATAAGAACACTTGGGAGATTGCTGTGAAATGCTGAAAGAAGCATTTTGTGCTTCTGTGATGTAACACAACGAATAGGCTTGTAAGATACAGCTTAAGTGGATATTAAAACACAACATTCTAGATTCATTTTTGAAAATGGCAACATTAAAAGATATATGCTATGTTTTTTAATAAAATTTTTAGTACATTTGCAAGTAAATCACTCAACTATTTGGTGGTGATAATATATCAATAATGATATAATTATTCACTTTGTAGCAACAGTTTATTCTTTGATGATTTTGCTTCTTGTAGAATCACACATCCATTAGAAATGAACCTTTCACATTTGGGATATTTGACGTGAGCAAACAACTTTACTTGATAGCTTATTCACATGACAGACAGGCTTCAACAATCAGAGCCAGAAAGAGTAACTTGTTTAACATGATTTGAAATTGATTAGATTTAGTTTGCTTGAAGTTAACCACGTGATAGGAATTTCCACATAGTCATTTCCTTATTTTCAAGCTCTGTAAAGTATTCCTAATAAGGAATTCTAATGCTTGACTGTACTTCAAGCAAGATAACACCACTGTAAGCACATTGATCCAAAAATGGGGTAGATAGTCAAGGGAAATGTGCAAAAAGCCTATTGAGCACTAAAAAGCTATATTAGTGCATTTTATGAAACGTGTTTGTCAAGACAACTGTATGTGAGCCATAAATCATACACTGAAGTGATGACTGTTTTGCCCATTGTAATGACATGGCAGTTTGGAAACAGCATGAGAATGGTGTGATGGCATTCTAGTGAAATGCTGGTGTGTAGCAATTCATAGTTTCGTAGAGGTGTTCACTAGACTCAGATCAATGGTTTGTTTTTAGATGTGTTATAATTTTTGGTGTTAACAAAGAAGAAAACCAAGGAGAAAAGGGAAGATGATTCAGATAAAGAAGAATAAAATGTAAAAGAAAAAAAAAGGGAGTAAGAAGAGTGGGTCCTTCAGTGAACAACAGAGAAGATAGCAAACACAGCAACACAGAATTAAGGAAAACCATAAGCTTCTGATATTTTAAAAGTGATTAGTAAATATAGTGTCTAATATTTTCTCTAATATGTCAGAAATAGAATCTGAGATTTCCATAACAGACAAAAGAAGACAGTCAGTGCAGTTAAGTAGAAAGAATATGCACTTTGAGTCAGATAAACCTATATTCAAACCCAAATGCTTCTTCTACAATTGTAAGGTGACGTCTCATGCAGCTTCCTCACCTCATTGGCCACTGGCTTAAGGTGAGTCATCAAAGATGTTATAAAGATTAATTCTACATAAAATGAAGGTAGCATGCATATTGAGTACCCACACTGAACAACATAACTTATTCAGTAATATTTTTTAATTACGAAAGTATGTCAGAACAGTGTGATCTATATAGCACCCTCTGGTTTAATTAGAACATAATGAAAGAAACAAATTAAAAATGAATAACCATTATTTGTGCTTTGGAGCAGAAAGAGACATTCAGGGTGGGTATGACATCAGAATACACAGCAAAAAGAATGAGAGCACAGAGACCCTTGACACAGGGAAGAAGGCCTGAGGGCGAATGCTTACACTTATCTCTCTTGAATTCATTACATTATATATTCAGCACTTGTTGAGATCCCCACCCTGACAACTCTCACAAAAGTCTGCAAGCAAAGCTCAGCCCAAAGAGGAAGCCACAGGGAAGCAAACCCACAAAAACAACACGGGGCGGTAGGTGCTGTGAGCCAAGTCCAGGGCTTCTCTAAGTTCACTTAAATTGATGTTCATTGCTTATACATCAAATGCTGTGTTAGACAACTGGGACACAAAAATTGTTAAAACACAAGTTCCCAATTTATACCCTTAAAAAGATAAAAGAGACAAAATGACAACAAGGAAACCAAATGTCCCTTGGTATTAAAATAATGGAAAAAGTAATCACACTATCATTGTTTACAGATAGGAGAAGGTAAGTTACCAAAAGGGGAAGCTTCTGGGACTGTCTACTCTATTGTATCACTCTTCCATTAATCTGATTGAAAAGTAATCTGAAGAAAAGAGGATGAGGAGGAGCAAAGGGGAACATGAAAAGAAATCCAGTCAGTGGAATGCCAGATTCAAACAAAAAAGGAAGAAATAAGCATAAAGATGTGTTATATACATGTACCACCTCCTCACAATAAACAAATCATCATATAACTCAAATATGCACTAATAAGAAAGAGAAAATAAAAATCAAATACATAGGCAAGTGATATGAATGTGAAGTTGAACAGGTGACAGATTATGGTGTCTAGTCCGACAGTCTGTGTATTGTTTGATTGACTGTGTCAACTGAGCAGTTCAGTGAAGAGAGATTTAACTAAACTGACTCAGTAATTGTATAGCTTAGGATGTAGAAGACCCACCGTAGGGCAGCTGTCATCTGGATGGTGTACAGAGGAAATGAGGAAGGACAGAGCTGCTTGTGTTCTTCAGAGGAGCTTCAGTCTTTGCCTTCGGGTTAGACCTCACCTTCTGGTGTCGCGTGTGAACTCTTCAGCTTCTGCCCTAGACTCTTCAGCCTTCCATTACAAACCCGGCTGCCCATCTTCAGGGGACACGGCATTGAGCTCCAGACCGTGGACTAAATCCTCCTGTCTCCTGTGTACAGATCGGCCCCCCGCCTGCACTCTTCCACATCCGATTCTAGGGAACCATCGTAAGTCTATCTGTAATTTCTTAGATGTTTGTATATCTTGTCTTATATCTGTCTTTCTAGTAAAACACTAATTGATCCAGTCTGGAAGAAGGGGCTTGATCTCATCACTGGCAAGAAGCCTCTGAAATTTAAGTGGCTGAAAGTAAGTATCTAGATCCTCTGTAGCTAGATCATCCCAGTGACACTGCCTATGCGGCAACTAAGTGTTCATAAAAAAAACCAGCTGAAAGCCAGTTTTAGTATTTAGACCAAGAAACAATTACAGCCTGGTTCATTTTATTGGTAATTGAGATAAAGAAAAAGAAAGGCAGCCACTGGAGAAATATTTAAAAGAAAAACAGTGGAAGTTGGTAAAATGTTGGCTGACAGATGAAACAGAGGGATAGAGGAGGATATACAAAGAGGGAACTTGGTAAATGACAGTGCAGGAGACGAATTAACAGATATGCTAAGTGATAGATATGGACAGGTATCGAAATGATACTAGGGAGAGATAAAAAATATGGAGTGAAATTAAAAAGTGAATATGGGTATATGGATATGGATATGTGTGTCTATATCTATATTACACATGCAAATGTGTGTGTGCAAGAGAGAGACAGAGAGATGGGAATGGGCAGAGAAAGAAGAAAATAAATAGATGGACTACAAAAGGACTAAAAACTACCCAGTAGATTTCAGAAGGAACGTCTTTTTTTCGCTTATTATGGAGGTTTCAGTAGCCAAACTGACATACATTAAAAAAGTAACTAAAAGCTAAGCAGACATTGCTAATAACCTGCTAATAACCTGAAAATCTGCTAATCGTATAAACATTTTAACAAGAAGAGAAGAGAGACACATTGTAACTGTGAAAAAATGAAGGCTGATCTTTCATTTTAAATTGGAAGATGGAAAAAAAGGCATGTAAGGGCAAAAATAAATGAAAATGTCAAGAAAAGAAGTGACAAATGTAAACTATGTCCTGTACAGGGCAGAGAGGAAGGACAGATGGAGGCACTGTCTTTTAGAGGAAGGAAAGAAGGAAAACTATTTGCAGACATTGTTACTGTAAAAGAAATTCGACATAAAGCATGTGATGTTTTATGATTGACATTTCTAACAAGAGTAAGCAAGAGTGTAAAAACATTAAAATTTTATTTCTGAGTTTATCTTGTATGAGATTTATTGTGATGTCTAAATCCAAGGTTTCATGCTTTAAAACTAATAGAATCTCATTATATTTTTGAAGATCACTTTTCCCATTCTCTTCTCTTTTTTTTCTTATTTAGTTTTCCACAACTTTTAAATTTCAGTCTGTATTTTATTTCCTTGTTTCTCTTCATTGCATTCTGGCTTCTACTTTATGTTTCCTAGTACACTGATTAGTTTGCTCCCAGATGTATCAGTTGTTTTTAATAAAATTTTTAGCAGCAAAAGGAATATAGTTTACTTGTTTATAAATTGTCTTGGTTACTTTTCTCTAGTTGCTGGGACAAAATAGCAGGGACCTAAAATGAGGGAAGGAAAGGTTTGTGTAGCTCATGATTTGTGGAGAAGGTTTCGGTCCATACTCAGTTGGCTCTAAGGCAGGGTGACATGGCACAGGGGCAATGGTTCAAGGCAGCATCCAGCACATCAACCAGAGCAAGAGGGAAGAGAAGCTTTTTTTCCTCTGTTACATTGTATGGAGGCACCAGGTTCCCTCCAGAGCAGATGTAACACTTAGAAAATCTCCATGTCTTCCTCTTGCATAACATGAGGATATTTACAAAGTAAGGATCCCAGCTTCCTGCTGAGTCTCTTAGTTAAACTTCCAAACTTCTCAAGTTGACACAATGTATCATCCATAATATAGGTTTTAGAGGGTTATTTTCAAATATACCTCAACTGTTTCCATAATGCTCAATGTTTACTTTGTTCCTGCAGTGACTTTAAACTTAGGAAGGTAAATGAATCTAGTAATTTTATTTTCTAAATTCTATGATAATTCTATTATTTTCAAATTATTCAAATGGTAAACATACTAAGGGTTATTGCTGACAATTTTTGTTCATGGGTGAAGTTTTCTCATGTGTTTTATAATTTTGCAAGGTTATCTAAAAAAATTTATCTATGGGAATCTTGTGTGACTTCAGTCTGAAGTTTATTACTCTAGAGAATACATGAGCCTCTTCAATGCCTTGTTATTTCAATAAAGTAGCCTGATCATCCTTCTTCTCTTTTTATCTAATATCCCATGTACAAGAAGATCCCATCAGCATTTTTTCCAGTGTATTTGAAAATCAGCTACTGCTTATTGTTCATATTGTAAAATCCCTGATTGATGTATTCATTATTATATTATTGCCCTTTTTATATGCACCAAATTCCATTCTTCACTAAGCAGGTCAAGAAAGTATTTTTTGAGATATTTTAAGAGCTTTGAAAGAGAATTATTGTCGATGCATTTTATAAACCCACTTTAAATTTAAAAGAACTATGATGCTAAGAAAGAATCCAAACAAAAATTCACCATAGTAGTATTTATAGAAAGTAGTAAAACAAATTAAATAATATAAATTATAGCAATTGCTACATAGATCATAGTTTATTCATATAATAGGCACATACAGATATTTAAACAATGCATCTGAAATTTGTCTTACAATGTGACAAAAATTATGTTATATTATGTTCAGAATAAAAATAAGGCTGACAGTTATTCATTAAGAATATAAAATTGGTAGTATACAGCACTAATATCTCTATGCATTAAAGGAATTTAAGTATTTCATCTTTCATTTTACCTTTTGCAATTTTGAAATTTTCTATAATAATCCACATTATAATTAGAGTGCCAAATGGATTATGGAAGATACTATTATTTTGGAAGAACTGGAAATTTTTATAAAATGGAATTTTGTTCATTATGGCCTAGGAAATGGGAAGAGAGTCTAGGGTATACCTAATCATGTAAATTAGAAAATAGTGTTGTCTCATAAACAATAGGCTGTAAATTATTAGTTTAACTTATCTTTAGATGTCTTTGTATAGAATTTCTAGACATAAAGGGGAAACTTTCAGTAAAAGTAGCCAAGGGAAACAAACACTAAGAATGAGCAGGAGGAGAAAGATACTTAAGCAAATTACAAACCTTCTCAGGTTCAAATTATAATATAAATTTGTATTCTGTGTTGAGAGATAAAAGATAACTTTGCTTGTGGGAACAGGGAAGCACAAACTTACAGCAGATTTGGAAGGAAAGCAAATAAAAATTTAGGAAAGGAGGCAGTAGATTTTCCTCTAAGTGACATCATAACATGTTATCTGGGCAAGCAGGATGCTTGCTATCCAATTTTTTCCCTATGATTAGGGTTATGTTCCCATTACATGTGATAGGTTGTTGTGATGCTCTCAGTTACTAAAGATACCTCTTCTCAGAGAATTAGACTCCATATCCTGCTAATACGAGAGACCTGATCATTGCTTCCTTCCCTGGAATGTGAGCCCCAGAAACAGCTATTACTTCTAATGGAATCTGTAGGAGCCACCAATTGATCTCATCAGGGTACTTTTCTCTGTAGACCAGAACATGCCCAGGAGTATGCAATCCTTCATTCTTGGTGTCAGAAAAGGTAACATGAAGTACAGGTAACTAAATTTCCATGTGAGTATAAAATAATTTTTTATGATGCAAACTACTATAATTTGGGGACCGCTTGTTACTGCACGATAATCCAACAAATGCTAACTTTCACTCAGTCCTCATCCCCAGAGTCAGCTCGTGCCTATGCATCCACATTTCAGGGCTTCTTCTATTTGTGTATTTTTGCCTCTGTTTTTTTCCCTTAACAAATAACATGATAAAAGATAGTAGTATTAACAATTACACTTTTGGGCTATTTTTAAAGGAAAATTTGCTTTTAATTGTTTAGAAGTATGCTTAGCACAAGATATGTGTTACTAATGTTTCCATTCAGTCATTTACAATGGTACACGATCACTAAGAAATGTGATCTTAAAAAAGCTTTCCTGCTTCTCTCTCTGTAGCACTTAATAATGGATAACACAGTGCATGCCACTAACTAAGAAGATGCTGAGCATTTGAAAGTAAAAAGAAATAGTCAGTGCCTGTGTCTGTCCTCCTGAATTGTCTCAATCATTTTGAGAGATAGAAATCAGTCAATTATTCACACAACACAAAATAGTAAACCTGAGAAGAGAGGGAAGGAAAGGAATATCTCTGCCACATACAAACATATACTAGGGAATGACTGTCACCGATTGGTCAATGAAAGCTTCCCGAACTCACCCCTGAACTGTGGAATCAGTCTAAAGAATACTGTACATGTATTTATTTGCTATTTGTATTTCTTCATCTGAGCAGTGTGTATTCATCGCAGATTCCCATTTTTGGACTGGATCTTTGAATTTTGGGGGTCTGATTTTTTAAAATTCTTTATATGTTTTAGACAGAAGTCCTTTGTCTGAGGGACATTTCACTAAGATTTTTTTTCCCAGTTTGTTTTCTTTTCACTATGCTGGAGATTTCTTTTGGCGGGCAGAAACTTTTTAATAAGATGTGATCCCAGTTATTGATTCTGGAAAGTATTTCCCATGTGATTTGATTCCTGTTCATGAATTCTCTACCTACCCATATGTCTTCAAGGTTTTTACCCAATTTGTCTTCCAATAGATTTAGTGTTCTGTTTTAGTATTCAGATCTTTGATCCATGTAGATTTTAATTTAATATATAGTGATAGGCATGGGTCTAGTTTTAATTTTCAGCATGTGGAGAGCCAGTTATCCAACATCATTTATTAAAGAGACTGTCATTCTTCCAGTGAACATGTTTGGTCCCTTTATCAAAGATAAGGTGGTTGAGTGTGTTTGTAGTTCTAATCTATTCCATTGATCTTCGGCTCTGTTTTGATTCCAGTACCATGTTGATTTTACTACAAATGGCAAATAAATACATGAAAAAATTTTCATCATCATTATCATTAAAGAAATGCAAATTAAAACTACATTGAGATTCCATCTCACTCCTGAAATAATGGCCAGGATCAAGCAAACTACCAACAACAAATTCTGGGGAGGCCATTGGGGAAAAGGAACTTTCCTGCACTGTTGGTGGGAGTATAGACTGGTGCAACCATTGTGGAGGTAAGTCTGGAGATTTCTCAAAATGCTGGGATTAGAAGTTTGTTCCAGCTATTCCACTTCTAGGCATATTCCCAGAAAACTGAAAATGACATACCGCAGTGATATATGTGCACCCATGTTTATAGCAGCACAATTTGTAATAGCCAGATCTTGTAAACAACCTAAGTGTCCATCAATTGAGGAACGGATAAAAAAGTTGTGGTATTTTTATTCAATGGAGTACTACTCTGCTATAAAGAAGGATCACGGTGAGATATTTATAAATAAATGGGCACAGCTTGAAACCATACTCATAAGTGAAATAAATCAAACTCACATGTATAAATACTGAATAACTTTCCTAGTGTAAGAAATGGTAAGAATACATAACAGTATGTAGTAAACATACTTTCCCATTATATTGCTTTGAAGGCTTATAATGTTTTCATTCATTAATTGGAATGGTTTCTTTCTGGGTTGTTTGATTTTATTGCCTGTGACGGTATGAACAGTTATTTTGAAGAAAACAAGACAATAAAATAGCTAGTGTGATTTAATATTATCTTGTTTTGAAGTCCCATGAAACTTTGGTTCTTTTGTCTCCATCAGTTTATCATGTTGTATCTTATTGGATTTTACCATATGTGATAGTATAAACAAAATTTTTATAGACAAGGAGATAATACAGAAAAAAAGAATACTGTACATAGCAATTATATAGGAATGATAAAATATTCCAGGAAAGGAAAATGTCAAAAAATGCCACATGGGCTAGAAAATAAATACGATAAGTAGGAAAATTTGAGGTAAAGTCACAATTCAAACTAACTAATAAAGGAAAGAGGGACTGAAAAAATGGTAGGAAAAAAATAGAGACAAAGTTTTAAAATGGGGATGGGAAGGAGAAATATTGAACAAAATAAAGAAATAAGACATAATAAGTATAGGTACAAATTCTTTATGATGAATGTGATCATTCTGTATGTAAAAGTACACCAATAAAATTAATTTAAAAAGTAAAATTCAGGTACAAGATGAGACTGCAAAGATAACTATGTATTGAAGGAACTTTGGGGACTATGTGAAGAAGGGATTTCTGCTCATTTTCCCCTGTTAAGATTAATGTAGATGGGGGCTGGGGATTTAGCTCAGCGGCATTAAGCACCTATCGTGAGTTCCATCCCTGGTACCAATCAAAAAGAAAAAGACAAAAAAAAAAAAAAAGATTAATGCAGATACAGAAGAGAACTAATAGTGGTTAGTTTTAAAAAGAAAAGAAAAAAAGCATGCCCACTAAAATGAAGATTGTAGATTAGAGTGTACAACAGCTACATGTAGACCAGTTTCAGAAGTCACTGTAAAGTCATGTGAGCTATAACTGCTTGTATCACATTTCTGGTGGGACAGTAATGTAATCAGATTAAAAAGTACATTTAGACTACATAGAACAGCTTTTGTTGATACATTGAAAAGGAATATTGAAATACAAAGAAAAGTCAAGAAAACTAGGATTTCTGAGTTATGAAATTTAAGTACTTTGGTGTGTAACTCGGGGTTGAATGAATGGGATCCTGAACTTGAATAGAGATACTGTATTTAAAACTAAAGTATCTTTGAATATAAGAGGATTTGTCCCACAAAACATAGCATAAATATGTGTTAAAGTCATTACAAGATCAGTCTTTTTAGTTCTTTTGACTTTTTCTAAAGTGACCCATAGAGATTAAAGAGTTAACACTGGTAATATTGCTAAACAAATATCAAGCTGATTATAACCAGAACAGTACCATATTATCCCGGAACACAAATTGGGGAGCTTTATTACGTTTTATATACCGAGTAAAAAAATACAAAGAAGTTATTTGTAGAATTACCTTTCACTGATTTGATTTGTTATGGTGATGATTTCATCTGAAAGTCTTTTATTTTCTCCCATTGCTTGAGCATATAGTATTGAAATGTCTGTAAAGTCTCTCGTAACATTATAAAGTTCAACATCCCACGCTTTTTTCTTTAAGAAAAGAATCATTTATACATTGTTTAATGGTGAGAAAAGAAAAATAAATGGTAATACATTTTAATTACATGTTTAATATTTGGGAACAGAGCATGAATCTCTACTGGGAAGCAAGGAAAAGTCAACTTACAGCGGCATAAAATTTGTTAACTACTTCCATGCACTTATGCTCATATTTTCTTTGCTTCCAGTACAGTTGATCATAAGTCTTCCTCAAATCATCCAGCTAAAAAAATGAACAAAAAATAAGTGAATTGTGGAAATCCATCATTTTATGTAGGATGGCACAGGTTGTATTTTACTTTGTGTAGCTTCCAAAATTTAATTAACATTAACTGAAGTGGTACATGATAAAACCATAGGCTGGTTCCTTTTATGAACGTTTATGCCAGCTTTTGGCAGAATATAGAAAATTATGCCAATGTTCAAGTAAATAGTTAATCATAATAAAGTAAGGTATGTTTTGGATGTAAAAGTTAGAAAATTTTCAATCATAATTCATTAGCACAAATTAAAGAAGAAAACAACATAAGTATCAAAACATTTTTTAAAATAACCACTTGATAAATTCACTATCCAGTTTCTTTAATATTTTAAACTAGCAAAGGAAAAGCTACTTAAATATAAGGAAACAAGTACTGAAAAAGATTATGAAATTCTGAATGAATGCCTATTAAACTCAAGAATAAAATCATGATATCTTTAATCACTATCATACTTAATTGTATTTCGTGAATGACTTACTAGGCCCAATGGATAATAAAGCCAAATATTGCTATTAAAATATTGACAATGAATAGATGGAAGGCTTTAAACTCAGATAACATGAGTAAGCATCCAAGGAAACAAATTTTATTTAAAACTATAGTAAATGATTTTAGCAAAATGATTCTATAAAATGATGAGAAAATTAATAGCTTTTGTCGATAAGAGTAATAATTTTTCTTTAAAATATAGCAACATTACTATAAAAGTTATATTAAAAATAAAGCATTTGGAATATTTTTTAAAAGACTGAGAACACATATACATGAATTCCCATAAAAAGCCTACATCAGAATCCACAATGAAAGAATGGCATGCGGTAGAAACTTTTAATAGGATATAATATCAGTCTTCTTCAGAGTAACATAAAATATAATAAAATCAAATAGTCTTTGATTAATTGTATGAAAATGATTTTTGGAAGAAAAATAAGCAAGAATATCCATGAAGTATCTGAAAATCAAATATAATATTTTAAACTTGATACTAGACATTAAAGCATTTTATTATACAACTGTATAAAACAGTTTATTATTACAGTAAACAAAGATAATAGAAAATAATCAGAGAGTAGAAATATATTTAAACTAATATTTTTTAAATGTTGTATATGAGTTCAGTGGCAGAATTTATTTAATGTGGCTGTAACAATTTGGAATCTCTGTTTCAAAAACATACAAAGTGGTCTCTATCTCATATCCAGTTCATGTTATAGAAAAAAGTAAACTTCAGATGAATACAGACAAGAACACAAAACAGTACAAGTTATTAAATCCATCAATATGAACTTACTTGTATAGTCTTGGTCTAAAGGAAAATGTCACCTTGCCAAATAAACTAAAGATCTGTCGATGTGTTTGACAATATTTTTTAGATAACTGTGTTGTAAAATACATCATAAACAAAAATGGAGGAAAAATGAGACCATGAAAAGTGTGAAATAGCAGTGTGATTTTCTAAGAATAAGTCCTCATAAAGGGCATAAGTAAAAATGGTAAAGTAAAAAAAAAAAATCTTTGAGAATTCTTTCCTTCTGGCAAAAAGCACAGAAGGAAGGACTGGAAGAAGGAAGGAGAAAAGGAAGAGAAGAAAGGGGAAAAAGAAAAGGAGGAAAAAACCCTCAAGACTTATATCCATGATGAATATAAAGTCAAAATTTGTTACACATTATATCTAGATGTCCCTCTAAAACCTCATGCACTTATGGATGGTGATTTGGTAGTTGGATCTAGAGTGTGTAAGTATGAATTAAGGATATTTGATGACTAAATTAATCCATTGATTGGTTTAGCATAGTTCTGGGTGTGGATAATGAGATGGCCCACCCCAAATGTAGGGCCACCAACCAATCGGCTTGGAGTCTACATGGAACAACAGGGAGAGGGAGGCTCAATGCTGCTGCTTCCCTGCTTCCTGCCTGCTCTTCCAAGGGTTGTTTCTTCTATTTGATGCCCCTCTGCCATGCTTCTCTGTCTTAAATTCAGCCAACTATGCATTGAAATCTCTATACACTGTGAGTGAAAATAAACCTTTCCCCCTATAAATTGTGGGTGCTGGTTACTTTGACCCAGCATCAAGAAAATAAGACAAAATTTCTTACAAATACATGCAAAACCTATGTAATATCACATTAAAAATCATACAAAATGACCAAGTTGGTTTCAACCCAGTGAGCACAGTTGGTTGAACATATATATATATATATATATATATATATATATATATATAATCAAGGGAAAATTACATATTCTGCTCAATACATGTGAAAAAAACCCTTTGGTAAACTTCAACATTCCTTTGTGATATAACCTCTTTGTTAGTTGGGTATACAAAAATTATACCTCAACAAAATGAAGACAATATATGACAAAGCCATTATCATATCGGTTGGGAAAAAGCTGAAAGCATTTCCTTTACATTCAAGAATTAGGCAAAGATGTCTATTCTTAGCACTTTTCTTCAATTTAGTATTGAAAATTTTAGCTAGAGCATTCAAGCAAGAGAAAGAAGCAAATAAGATACAAATAAGAAATGGAAGTATCAAATTATGTCTATTGGTTGATGATATGATTGACAAATCTAGAAAAGTATCAGGACAAAATAAAGTGCAAAAATTGGTTGTTTTCTACATATCAATACTTTTCTTGCTCTGAAAGAAATAAAAAAGATAATTCTATTTACAATATTCTAAAATAAACTGAGATACAAACTTAACCGAGAGAGTTAAAAACTACTGCAGTGAAAATTACAAATACTGAAAATGAAAATGAATAATAAAGATGAAAAGAACTTTCTTACTCATGGACTGAATTAATAAAGCTGAATATGTCATAATGGTCTATATATTATAAAATTCCAAACAGAACTCTTTGATATTCCTTGCATTGTTTAAAAATAAAAGGTCCTTTTTTAAAACAATGACTATAAACACCATATGGACTATACATAAAAGGAAAAAAAAATCACACTCAATATAACTATCCCAGAAGAGCCTTAGACATTGTTATATAAAATATGTTTAAAGAACTAAAAGAAGATATTTATGGAATTAAAGTAAAACATGCTTTATTACCAACTAGAAAATATCAGTAAGATGACAGAAACTATAAAAGATACTCAAGTGGAAATGTTTTAGTTGAAAAGTATAGTAACAAATAAAAATATAGCTACATGAATGCAGATGCATATTTGAGCAGGCCAAAGGAAGTGTAATTTGAAAATGAGTTGACTCAGATAATGTAGTCTGAGGAACAAAGAAAAATAAACAGAGATTTATAGTTATAGCACATCATAAAGTATATCAACATGCAAGTACACAAACATATTCAAAGGAAGAGAAAGAGAGAGAGAGAGAGAGAGAGAGAGAGAGAGAGAGAGAGAGAGAGAGAGAGGAGGGGAAAAGGAGCTGGACAGAACAATATTTGAAGAAATAATGCCTGAAAACTTCCCAAATTAGTAAAACATCAAACCAAACAAAAACATGAATCTACATATTCAAGTTCAAGACACTAAGTGGTATAAAGTCAGAGATAAAACACATAACATACAATCAAATTGTCCAAAGCTTTAGAATGAGGCACTCTTAGAAATATCAAAAGTCATACTTCAAACACAAAGAATTTTCATTTAGATTAATAGATGATGTTTTTCATTAAAAACAAAGGGGACAAAAAAGTATATGCTATGTCAAATACAGAAAGAAAAATAAAGCACCTAGCATTATACATCATCATTTAAAAATGAATGCCATGTTAGGACATTCCTAGGTAATCAAATATCAATTAAATTTATCATTTGGAAAGTTGTTCTAGAAGCAATTTTGAAGGGAATTGTTCAGGTCAAAATGAAAGAAATTAGAACACTTAGTAAGTACATTAACTTACCAGTATATATTTTTATTCGACATTGACAATTCATGACTCATTTTATTTGCTATATCTCTGGATCTCACGAACTCTGTTTCTTTGATACTAGGCTTGAAATATGTCCTGCTAATTGCTTCAACAGATCAGGGCTCCGAAATTCAACATAATCCTCAGTGTGGTTCTAATGATTTAGAATTCTCTGTCACCCCGTGCATAGGTTTTTACTAGACTTGAGCACTTTACTTTTTGGTTCCACATTTGAATGTGTTTGTAAAATACTTTGCTTTCACATGACATTTGATTTTGTACAATCTCATAACTGATGCCATTACTAATCTTGTTTTCCTCACTAGTTCATGAAATCCAAACTTCAAATAAATTTAAATCATTTCCATATAAATTTGTTTCTTTTCACCTTGTGCTTTTACAACTGTAGCAAAGGATTATTTCAGCAATAATTTAATTAAGCTTTCCTACCTAGCTAAAGGCATGTAATTGGTTCCATCATGTTCTTTGTAGTATCTTTATCTCTATGCCTAAAAATTTTCATTTTCAACCTTTATGCATTATAAAGGTCTATAAAATGTATAAATGGGATAGGGATAATATTTTCTATTGTGATTTTTATCTTCAGGTGTGGTAGGTTTGATGAAAAAAATTAGATATACTTCTCAATCTAAACAAATATCACTGTCAAGAAATGGGCCTCTGATATATTTTCCAATAAAAAGAATAAAATTTAAACATGAAAATCCAGTGCCTGAGGGTAAAAAGTAATGACCTGTACCACCATGCTCCAAATAAGTGTTTATAGAGGTCTCACTACAAGAAGTTACAAAATGTGAATGCGTATACCGCAAGCACTGCATGTGTGTTTATTGCAATCAGCAACTTCTGGGCTAACATTATTTCTTTAATGCTGCCCTAAGTAATAAAATGCATGGAATCAGTGGTATTATGTATTAATTTTTTTATATAGATGACAATACATAGATCATTAAAAATGTCAGTCGCTGTGATATCTAAATTTACATAGTCTGTCATGAATAGGAACCTTTGCAATTAAAACTAGAATAAATTTGCCTTGTAGAAAAGA